CCAACACGGACGCACGAAATATCAATGTACTCGTAAGCGAAGAGTCGCGTAACACGCAATAAATGTAACTAAAGCAATATTGAATGGAAATAAATGATCATTCGAACCCATCCCCGACACAGTTCCAGACATGTAAAAATTATGATTTAGCACTTTTACATGAAAATTGGGCATTGGCCGGCCATATTAAATCGAATCACAAAAATAATGGTGTTGCGCATGTATCCCTTGGTATACTATCTTTGTACAAAATTTAAAGAGAAAGGTTCATTGCATTCAAGAGAAAGTAGCATGGGTACCATGAAAAACAAAATGGCCACCAGTCGGCCATATTTTCTTGAATCACAGAAAAAATATGACGTGCACCAATAACACAATATGTATGGTGATCATACCAACTTTGATCCAAACCGGCCTAGTTATCTCTGAGAAACTGCTGCTGTAAAGTTTGAATGAAATTCGTCAATGGGTGTCCGAGATATAGCTCCGGACGTACGGACGGAACAAACAAATAGTCCAACGGAACAAATTAATAGTCCCCGTTTTCGGACTTCGTTCGAACAGGGACTAATAACACTAATTCGCATTAGTGTGTATCATTTATGCATATAATTACATATCTCATGTACTTTGCATCATTTTATTTATACATGGTATTCCCAGATTAACACCGATTGTTAATGGCATATATAACATTAGATTCTCAACTCCGATGAAAAGACAAGTTTCTTCCACTAACCATGAAAGCAAAACATCGCGAAAGCCAATCATTGCGAAGCTACTAGTAAGCTATTAAAAAATTCTGGTAAATTCTATAGAATCATAAAGTCAATGTACATGAACTCTCTAGGCTGTGTCAAGGTCAAACATGGCCTCACTGAAGGCACAGGGTACAGAGAGGAATTCAACAAGATGACGGATTAAGCCCCATGTTGTTCAACATTTTCATAAATGACATCAAGGCAGACATAGACTCAGTTAACAGTGATCCACCAACCCTCCTAAACAGCCAGTTATCGCTACTTTTATATTTTCAAATTCAGGTCTGCAAAATACATTGAATGCTTTAGAGAAATACTGTACAAAATGGCACCTGAAAATTAATATGTCAAAATCAAAAACCATTATTTTTAATAAATCAGGTGAAACTCTTAAAAAATTAAAAAAAATTGTTCTTCCTACACATACCTGGGCATTAAACTAAACTCAACAGGTAAATTAAATAAAGCCCAGGAAGATCTTAAAAACAGAGCAACAAAAGCATGCTTTAAGCTAAAACAGCTGTTATTTTCAGAGACCAATATCCCAATAAAAGTATACTTAAAAATGTTTGACTCAATGATCAAACCAATTATAATATACTGCAGTGAGATTTGGTCAAATGAAGGGAATAACAGACTCATTAAATTTATTTATTTAATCTTGCGCGCCCCATGGAGAAACTCCACAGCAAATACTGTAAATATCTACTGAATGTTAACAGTAGAGCAACTAACATTGCATGTCTGTTGGAATTGGGTAGATATCCCCTCATCATTCCAAGCCTGACACAGATGGTAAAATACTGGCAAAACATCACTAAAAACCATGAAAACACACTGGTCAAGTAAGCCTACAACCTTGGTATCCAACTGGATACACAACTGGGTTTCAGGGCTTGTACATATTTTAAATTTTTTGGGCATCAGATACACTTTGAATGATAAAAGGATTGAAAATAGCTTTGTTGCAACTTTTTTGGAAAAATTAAAACAGTTTAAAATTAAAATTAAAACAATTCATTATTCATTACACTGAATTAAGGAACATATTTTTTAACAAATTCTTGATATCTGTTCAGCAGAACAAATTTTATCAAATTATTAAATAGTACACATCAGGAAACCATTATTGAACTTAACTTATCTACAGTTGTTTTCAAATGAGAGAAAGTTTGAATAAATAAATTTACCAGCTGTCTCATTTCAGAACCATCAAAAAACAAGCCATGCATGACATAGTCCCTGCTAGTTACCAAATTTAAGATATATAGTTTTGTTTATAGTAATATAGCTGGAATATAACCATGTCAGGAATATGATTTTTTTAACGTTAAAATGATTGACATTTGTATCTGATCATCAAACAAGTACTTGTTCATATTAAGAGATATTGCTCTGGAACAGCATTCAAAATCAGCCATTTTGAATACATGTATATATAAATATATATATAACATGATGTATAACGAATATATAAAATTTGAATACAAACAGTCAAAGCATTTAAGAGATATGGCTCTAGAAGCCCAATCATTAAAACAAAATGGCCATCAGTCAGCCATTTTGAATCCAATCTGAAAAATAAATGATGTGCATCAGGAACCTGTAATGTCTAATGTATGTACCAAGTTTGAACGAAATCCATCCATAAATGCAAGAAATGCTTGATATTTGAGGATTTTTTAGCACAAAAATAGCCCCCATTTGGCCACCTTGAAATGGATCGTCAAACCAATATATCCGTATATCTATGACATAATGTATAATGAATATTAAAAATTTGAACATAATCAGTCGAAGCAAGTCAGAGATATGGCACGAGAACCACATTCATTAAAACAAAATGGCCGCCAGACAGCCAATTTTAATCTGATCTGAAAAATAAAATGTCATTGTGCATCAAGAACCCGTAATGTCTAATGTATGTACCAAGTTTGAACGAAATCCATCCTATGACATGATGTATAATGAATATTTCAAATTCGAACATAATCAGTCAAAACAAGTCAGAGATATGGGTCTAGAAGCCCATTCATTAAAACAAAATAGCAGCCAGA